GCTCTCTAGGCCAGGATGAGTCCTTTGTGGTTTTCTCCCTTCCTTCTCTCTTGAGAAGGAGCTCTGGTGGTGCAGTGGTTAGGTGCTTGGCTGCTAACCAAAAGGTCAGTGGTTCAAACCCACCAGCCCCTCCATGGGAGAAAGATGTAGCAGTCTGCTCCCGTAAAGATTACAGCCTTGGAAACCCTATAGGGCAGTCGTACTCTGTCCTGGAGGGTTGCTCTGAGTCAGAATCGACTCCGCGGCGACAGATGCCTCTTGAGAGCTCAAGCCCATTCCAGACTCATTCAGCTTAAAGAAGGCTGCAGGCGTGGATGCGCCCGTCACTCTACCTACTGCGCACGTTGCTGAGCACTATAGGACGAGGCTTAGATGAACTCTAGGTTTCTGTTCTACCGTTTTGAATCCTTGGCCAGTGTTTTTACTGTCTTACCCTGTGAATTTGCCAAGTCTGGCGGAAACTAAAATTAAGAGATTTTTTTCTTTCTTTTTCAGAGCAGGGACAATAGGCTTTCCACTTGTATAGAAAGAAAGGGATGAGGAGGAGGGAGCTAGGGGCAGCAAAGAGAAGTAGAAATGACCAGGTAATTTCATCGTAACCTGTTCCATTTTTCAGTTCTTAGGATTCTTGATGCTGTCTCTTAGACTGGGGATATCTCACAGCCCCATTGTCCCCAAATCAGAAATCAGAACATGTTTAATATATCCTATCGACCCTGCCCTCTTCCACCTCACCAAACACTCTCCTCTCTACTTCTCCTTAACTGTACACAGATAGATAGAGAGAGAAAGGCAGGCAGATAACTTGGGGAGGACAATCCAAACATGGTAGTGCTACCAGAGTTCTTGTAGGTCTTTGCACAGCTGGTCTCTGGCTTGAATCTCCATCTCTCTCGTCTGACTGGCCAAACAGTAGAGTAAAAAGTCAACAGTTTCCTTTTTTTACCCAGAGTTCAGATGCCTCCATCCCCTGGCATCTTTGACCTCAGGGACAACCACTCTGGCTGTGTTTTCTGGCCTGTTTTGGAAAGCAGTGCCCCAGAGTTTCAGAAGAATTTGAGTAATTGTTGTTAATGTAGACAGAATATGAAATAGAGTGTCTGATCTCAACCCGACTGATGAGAGGGACACTCACGTCTTTCCTGCTGGTATTAAGTGCAAAGGGACAGGAGGCTGGGCTGAGCTCTGTGGAAGCTGCAATCTGGTTTAAGTGGCACCTCCATTTCTGGAGCAGTGAAAGAATAGGAGCAGTTAAGTGCATCTTCTGAGACAGACCTATTCTCACATCGTGGAAAGAACAAAAGAGAAGAATAAAGAGGAGAAATTTCAGGGGGATGGTGAAGAAGGAAAACACCTATGTGAGACCAGAGGGTCTCCATTGGAGAAGGCAGCCTACTATAGGCCTCCCACTTGTAGGAACCTCTGTGGCAAATGAGGTGGTTGAGAGCTCCACCCTTGCCAACACGCGGGTGAAAAGTCTAAAGATTTTTCTTCATTGTACCCTACCTTTCTTTGGTTCGTCTGACAGCCAGTGAGTTGAACAAGTGCACAGGGATGAAGAGGAGTACCGGTTGCTTTGGATCCTGGGACTCTCCAGAATCCTCTTCCCTGAGGTCAGCACGGTGCCGCCCTGTTGCTCCCAGGAAGGCCCCCCTCGGAGCCAGATGATTATGTAGAACACTTCCCCTTTCCCTCCTCACCCACCCCCCAAGTCAAGAAACTTCTTGAGGTGGGGTATAATGGCACTGAGATACAAATGAAAAACCATATTTCATTTAAAAAATTACCTTTACCGTTATTGATTTTTAAAGTGAATTTGAATTATCGAGTTGAGGAGTCTGATGAGATATCCACGTGGACACGTTTATCAGACAGTCAGAAATATGTCCCAGGAGTAAGGACGAAGCTAGAGATACCGATCTAGAAGCCATGGAAATCAAGGAAGACAAGAGTTAGAGGTTTTCTTCTAGCTCTTTAAAAGAAACAAGGGGAGTACAGAGGAGGGCAATTAATATGAGAGGTCAGCATATTCAATTGCAATCTCCTAGGTTGGTTTCAACTACTTCAAGTCTTGCTATGTACGTACATTCAAGTTTCTAATTTGACTTGTAGAACTGTTTTGTCCTTAAACAACCTCAAATTGCTCTTTGAAACAATGCTCCACTGTTCATGGAATTTCAAAGGCTTTGTTCCAGGAGTTTATTTTAGAACCTAGAGCTGTCTTCAATTTGCCTGCCCCAGGTGATAGCTTTTGGGTAATAGTGGAGCAGATTAGTTCATTTGTCTTTGTTCTGTAGGTCACTGCTCACCTCCTCTTCTGGAGGCACATTCTGACTCATAACAACCCTGTGTGTGAAAATAAGCCCCAAAGTGGAGAGCAGAAGAATAAAAGCCACAAACCATGTGGTCATTTATAAGACAGTCCCCTCAAAGTCTTTATCTCCCATTTCTTTCCACTGTCTTTCCCTCTCTCCTTCGCACCCATCCCCATCCATTTAGGCTTTTTTGGGTATCTAATATTATCAGCGGGAGCCCTGGTGATGCAGTGGTTAAGTGCTTGGCTGCTGACCAAAAGGTCGGCAGTTCAAATCCTCCAGCCTCTCCTTGGAAACCCTATGGGCAGTCTACTCTGTCCTATAGGGTCCCTGTGAGGTGGAATCAACTCGAAGGCAACGTTTGTTTTGTTTTGTTTTGTTTTGAATATTATCAGGCTGTGGCAGTGTGAATAAAATTAACAGCAAGATACAATATGTGTCCATAAAAAACTCATAGGGTGGTAAGGTGGCCAGATCCATAAATGTAATTTGACAACTTTAATGGTGGAAATAATAATAAAACCAAACCCATTGCCATTGAGTCAATTCTGACTCAATGACAACCCTGTGTGTTACAGAGTAGAACTGCTCCATAGGATTTTCTTGGCTGTAACCTTTACGGAAGCAGACCACCAGGCCTCCTGTGGTGCTACTGGGTGGGTTTGATCCACCAACCTTTAGGTTAGTAGTTGAGTGTAAACTGTCTGTGCCACCCAGGGACCTGGGAAATAGTAATACTAATAGTAATAATTACCATTTATTGGTATGCCTCATATGTGTCACATTGTAAGACACAGTCATTATTTAATCCTTACAAAACGCTCATTTTACAGATGAGGAAATGAAGGCTCTGAGAGATTAAGTTGCCCAGTTAATAAGTGTCAACACTGGGGCTTAAAACCATGTTTGCTGGACTCTAAAGTTCATCCTTTAACTTCTGTGCTTGGAGCACAAAGGGAGGAGCTCCTACTGAGCGTGGCAGACAGGAAATATGTCATTGTTCTGCGGGACTCAAAAGTAGAGTATTACCTATTGTAAATTACAGAGAGTCAAATGGGATCAACTGGGCACATAACCAGGGTACAACTCTGTCATCTCGCATTTCTCCTCCTCACCTTTGCCCCAACTCTCCCTGTTGATCTGCGTACTTTTATGTAGGTGGACAGACTTATTTACCTTTTTGTTCGCTTTGATTTTTTATTGACCCTTTTGGCATCTGTTTGCTCTCTTAAGGACCATGTGAGGGCCAAAGCCCTGCCTAGACCTCTGGAGATTTTTTTATGGTTTGGGTTTTTTACAGGAGCAGATCGTCACGTTTTTTTCTCCCACAGAGTGGCTGGTGGGTTTGAACCACTGACCTTTTAGTAAGCAGCTGAGCACTTAAATAGTGCACCAGCAGGGCTGTAATAATTTAGACCCAAAGGAGTTGGTTTTTTAAGTTCCTGCAACAAAATTAGATGAGTGACAAAAGATTAGATAGGAAATTTAGGGGCAGTGAGTTTATGTTAATGGGGGAGGAACAACTCAGAAAAGGAGGATGATAATGGTTGCACAACTGGAAGAGTGTAATCAGTGTCACTGAATTGTACATGTAGAAACTGTTGAATTGGTGTATATTCTGCTGTGTATACTCAACAACAAAAATAAATTATAAAAAAAAAAAAAAGAGTGAATGGAAGGGCTTTTGGCTTTTCCACTTGGCTTCTCAGGATCCTTGTAATCCATTTCCTTTTTTTACCACCCTTTAGCCCTCAACCCATTCCTGCACCAGCCCTACCCCATTCCTTTAAAGGGACTATTACAAATAATACATTCTCATTGTAGGAATTTTGAAACACATAGAAGAAAATAAAGCAGCATCCAAAATCCCACTTCCCAGTGTTAACGTCATCTATCTATCTAATCTATCTAATCTGTCTAATCTGTCTAATGTATCTATCTGTCTATCTGGCTTAGAACAACAGTTTCATTATTTCTTACAATTTTGTGGGTCAAGAATTCAGTCAAAGCACAATGAGTCTTCTTTTCCTGATAGCATTGATGGGGGTCACTCCATGCCATTCAGCTGGCAGATGGGTCTATCTAAATGTCTTAGATATTTTTGTATTGTGGTAAATATATAGGTAACAAGATGTTTGCCATTTCAACAGTCTTGACATATACAGTTCAGTGACATTAAATATGTTCATCATGTTGTTCAACCACCAGCATTCCTGAATTTCTCTATCAGTGTCCCCTAAGCATTGTGTCTTCTTTTCCCCTCTCTCCTGTCCCGTCTGGGAAGCCACTAATAAACTTTGATCTCTATACACTGGGGTGTTATAGATATGTCATATAAGTGGGATTGTACAATATTTGCCTTTTTGTCTGACTTATTTCACTCAGCGTAGTGTTTTCAAGGTTCATCATGCTGTAGCATGTATCAGGACTTCATTTCTCTTTATGGCTGAGTAATACTCTATTGTATGTATGTACCACATTTGGTTTTATATTTTATTTTAACCTTTTTTATTTGCGTGTATTTCAGTATGAAAAATAAAATGAATGCAATTCTAATGAAATTTGGGCTGGATAGTACAGAGGTTTGGGGCTTCTTGCTTTCAATCAGATGGTGGTGGGGGGCGGGGGGCTATGGGTCCCGAAGTTTCTAAGGAGCCCTTCATTTTGCTTTCTTAATTGTTTCAGGGAGTGGCTGAGGCTGAACTGGAAAAGAACCTGACTCGGACTTTCAAGTGCTTATTCAGAAGAGGTGATGAGGTAAGAGGTGGGGGCTCAGGAGGGCAGGAAGGGACTGTGTGTGCCCACAGCTGTGTATGCTGTGGGTGTGAAGGTCTCTGTATGGCTTCTCCCTGGGGTTTGGGGTTTAGCAGGGTCTGGGAATTCACAACTCGGCCTTTGTTTCTTTGACTTCTGTAGTCAGGATTAGGGTCTCCACTCAAGTGGTCTCTTCATTAATGGGAAAAAACCACATCGTCACTGTCACACTGTGAAGGGCTGTGAAGTTAAGATCAAAGAATGATTATAGCAGTGATGGTTTGGAAATTAGACTGTTATTACCGTCAACATTTTAATACGCGCAATTGGCTTATCAGAGTCCAAAACCCTTTTCTTGATCAGCCAAAAAATTTTCAAATGCTTTAACCCCAATAATCCCCAGCCTTCTGTCTTACATGTTAGTAATCACAGCTGTCACTGCTGCACATTCAGTGCCCACTTAGATTATCCTGTGTTTTCCCATTCTTTGCTGTTCACTTGCATCTCACTCCTTCATGTTGGAATCAGTTTCTTTCTTCTTGAACTACCGTCTTTAATAGTTACCTCAGTAAGGATCTGTTAGTGGTAAAGTCATCATTTTTTACTCTGAAAATATGTTTATTTTACTTTTAATCTTAAAGACTAGCTTATCTTAGAATTCTTGGCTGACAATTATTTTTTTCGAAGCTTTTGTTGTTGCTTATGAGAAATCTACCTCAGTTCTACCTTCTTGTATACTTGTCTTTTAGCTGGGTCTAAGCTGCATTTTAAGGAGCTCTGGCAGCACAGTGGTTAAGCCCTTGGCTGCTAAACTTAAAGGTTGGCGGTTCAAACCCACCAGCCGCTCCACAGAAGAAAGATGTGGCATCTGCTTCCATGAAGATTACTGCCTTGGAAATCCTATGGGACAGTTCTACCCTGTTTTATAGGGTCGCTATGAGTCAGAATCCACAGCAAGGGGTTAATCTGCAGTTTAACCCATCTTTGATGTATCCTTTTTAATTTCAGTGAACTCTTTTTTTATTTATGAAAGTTGTATTTGGTTCTTTTTCAAATCGTTCGGTCTCCTGTTCTTGTTCAGTGTCTTGTTCTGTTCTTGCTTTTCAATTTCTTCTTTTATATCTTTAATAGTTTTAAACCCACTTATTTTTCATTCTCCAGCTCTCTGAAAGTTCTGTTGTTTGATGTTCTTGGAGTCTTATTTTACTGTTGGCTATGTTTTCTGTCTGTTGCTTATGAGGCCATGGGGCTTTTTTTTTTTTTTTTTGGTGGGGGGAGGTGCGATTATTGTAATTTTGAATTGTGAGCTCATCTTCAGTAGCACTTAATCTGTAGCAGTTTGCTTCAATTTGATTTGAGGAGATGACCCGTACACGAGATTTGGCATTTGCTTCTGCCAGGCATCCTGTGGCATTACCAGTCCAGGCTCACTTTGTGGTGGTGCTGGTTTATTCTCACCTTAGGGGTTTCCAAATGATGCATGTAGTATAAATTCAAACCCAAATACTTGTGAAGGCAGGCTTGTGGCTATGAATTCCCAGGATAGCCTTTTTTGGTTTTCTCTTAGAACCAAGCTGAGACAGGCAGCTTGACATCTCCTTGTCCTATCTCCTTTGACATCTCCCTGTTGAGATGGATGGATTTTTTATAACCTACCCTTTTACTTCAGTGGCCCCAGATATCTTGAGTTTACCGTGAAGGGGCAAGGAGTATCTCATTTCTAAGTTCCTACCTACCTTGGGCCTAAGGTCTCACCTCTTGTTCTCTTTGGTTGATAAACCCATCTTTACAGGGCCAGGAGCCCTGGTGGCGCATTGGTTAAGCAGTCGGCTGTTAACTGAAAGGTTGGCAGTTTGAACCCACCACCCACTCCACAGGAGAAAAGATGTGGCAGTCTGTTTCTGTAAAGATTACAGCCTTGGAAACCCTATGGGGCAGTTCTGCTCTGTCCTATAGGGTCACTGTGAGTCAGAATCGGGTTTTACATTGCCGAAATCTGCCAGTGCCCTGGAACAGCCTTGGCCAGGCTCTCACTGAGAGCTTTGCTTGTCAGTTCCCTCTTTACTTTGACCCCTGAGGATTTCCGTAATTCTCTTGGGAATTTAGCATGTTTGTAGATCTTTTGTTGGTGTAGATCTATATAGCATGTGTAGATCTTTTGGTGGAGGGTTTTCAGATTACCCATTAGAGCATTTTTTCTTCACCTCATCAGTGACATTATTTCTGACTTTTCTCCCTACAGTCTTTGATTGCCTTGAACAAAGTCTCCGAAATGGGTAAGAGATGTTCTTAGATGAGAAGGGAGGTGGAGAGGGGTACAGCAGGAACCAGTGAATGTTGAATGAGTTTTCTACCTCTGACTGCTATGGGCAAAAGCAGCACCTGTCACACCGGTACTTTGACTTGCCCAACACAGGTTCCCCGAGAGCTAAGTAGTCCTCACCCCTAACCTTGGGCCTGACCACATAGCCTCTAGTTCCTTTCTTTAAGGGAGCTCCACATTCAAGATCTTAAACAGTAAGAGCTTGGAGGTATCTTAGAGACTGGGGCAGAGGAGTGGCTTCTAGAATAGTGAAGGAGCTAAACCAAGGATAGTTTCATCCTCAGCAATCTCCCCACCATCAAACACACACAGCCCTCACGGAATATGAGCAGTGCTGTGGGCCAGCTTCCACATGTTCCCAAAAGCCGATTTCAGAGGCTTCCAGCCCCCTTATCGCAGTCCTGTACCCACACACTGTAGCCTTGCTGAGTCGAGTATGGAAAATGCCCTGGACATGTAGGTGTGACATCTGTGCTCTATTTTCTTCCCCCTGAAAAAACATTTGCTCTTCTTGGGATAACTGGCTTTTTGCTGAGCTGGTTACTATTGGGGTCTATAGGATAGTTACCTGTTAAAAGCTTTCGTTTTATTCTTCTCTGAACACCCCACCCTGCACCAGAGTCCCCTTAAACTGGTATAGAAACTTGGACAGGAGCTGGCTTCTAGGGAGCTTTGGATTCAAGATCTTACATAGTAAGAGCTTGACGGAATCTTAGAAGCTGCCTAGGGCAGTCCCACCCTCCACTGATAGAACTGCAGGATCACCAGGTGCCAGAGAGGCAGTAGACCAAACCCCAACCGAGGCCTCCACAGCCATAGTCCACTGGTCTTCCTTCCATCCAGGCTCTATACTCTGGTCATTTCCAGTTCCCTCACAAATAATACCATCGTCCTTGGTCTTCTCCTGGTTGGATGTAAGTGAGGATTCAGAGCTGAGATCAGAATGGAGCTTATACTCATAGCTCCTAGATCCGACATTATTCCCACAAAATATTTATTTTTTTTCCCATCACTGTGCCCTTACCATTATTCACTTTTATTTTTATTAATAATGATGCTAGCATGCTTTTTAATAAAAACTGTTTTTCAGGGTTGACACTATTCTTACTCCAGCAGAGACTATTGTTCTGTATAAAAAGACTTACTGTGTAAAATCGATTATTTCAAATAAAGGAGAAGCCAAATGGGGGAAAAAAAAAAGAAAAAAAGGAATGTACAGTAGTGTCTAACTCGTTCATGTGAAATAACAAATGGTTGCTTATGAAATAGAAACAAATATATCTTTTTCAGTGACTTAGTAAAAATAAAATAAAAATGATGCTAGTTATCTCTTACTTGAGCATCTACTATATGTGTCAAACACTAGACTAGATCCTTTAGATCTATTATGTAATCATCATTACATCCCTAAAAATATCATTATTATTTCTGTTTTACAAGTGAGGAAAATGAGCCTCAGAAGGTTAAGTAACTTGTGCAGCTGGAAGTAAACTCATCTGACTCTAAAGGCCACGGTCTTCTCACTACTTCAAGAACACTTCCTTCCTTCTCTCCCTCCCTTCGTTCCTTCATTTGTTCATTCATTCATTCACGAAATGTTTTGAGCGTGTACTTGGTATAAGATAGTGGCTGGGCACCACAGATACCCAGATGCACAAAGTGGATCCATGCCCTTGGGGAGCCCGCTGTCTGTGGGGAGGCAGACAAGCACTAATAAAGCAGGTGGAGAGGCACGTACATCCACGAGGCACCAAAGCCACAGTGAGCCCGGAGTGCCTGGTCTGATAGGAATGTCAGGGGGCTTAATCAGGAGGTCTCACCTCTTGTTCTCTTTGGTTGATAAACCCATCTTTACATACCCCTTTGATCTGTCTCACAAAGTCTGGTTGCCCAGCCCCTGTGCCTCAGAGGCTTCATGGGCCTGAAAATCCTAAGAGCTGTCTCCCAGCACCGACATTAATACCCATTAGAGTTGTCTCCTGTGAAATCACAGTGGTCCCTGGGCTGTCAGCTGTCATCAGAAGGTGTCCCTCAAGGGGGGACTGAGTGCTGCCGAAGCACAGTTTACACTCCTGAAAACAAGATAGGGTTCCACACTAAGGACACCACAGGAGGGTCTGTGAGGTGCTTCCTGCCGTCAGTTTCCTTCCAGCCTGAGAGGAGAAACACAGCGCTGAAAATCCTGAGCATGTCAGTAGAGACATCCAGAAAGACACATAAGTAGCTAAGTTGTTTAGAAAAGGTTCAGCCTAGGGGAGAGGGCTAGCAAAATGGGTGCAGGGCCTGGAAAACAGGTAGAAACCATACCCTACCCTCCTTCACAAACTCAGAACAGCCTAAAACGGTGTCATCCTGGGACTGAGTTTTGAGTATGTTTTTGAAAGAGGGAAGGGGTGTGGTTTGTCCTGGAGTCATGACACTAGCCCTTGCGTGTGTAATGCATCCAGAGCTGGATCCACTGGGTTCCAGAACGACATCGAAATCACAGGCTCAGACAGTGAGAGGAGATGGGCTCATTTTGGAAAAGGAAGAGAGAACAAATGATGAAATACCATTAGGCGTTCGTCATAATTTCAGGCATTCTAAGGCAATTAGGAGCCTAGCCTCAATTAGGAACACCATTGTTAGAACTCAGACCTGACGCTGAGGATGGGGAAGAAACAAGTGATTTTTTGCAGGAGGAATTCTGGTACAATTCCCGGATGAGCCCAGTCTGAGTACAATGATCACTGAAGAGGAGATCCAGTTCTATGTGGAGCAGTTCAAGAAGTCTGGTTTCAGGTAAAGAAACAAACACAGGGTAGGCAGGCAGCAAAAAGGTAGGCTGTAGCTCTCAGGATGGAGGGAAAGGCCTAACCACCCCTCCTACCACACCCCCTGTGAAGGCCTGGCCAGCCTCTGCTTGGATAGTGTCAGGGGGCTCACTAGCTCAGGAAGCTCAGCCTGCTCTAGTTTGGGATAACCCAGCTTACTGTACCTTATGCTTATTGGCCCCACCCAGAGCAGAGGTTACTAACCTTTTTTCAGTTACATACCCCTCTGAGAATCAGATGTCAGCTCTGGTGTCTGTCTTCAGAAAAACACAAAAAAACCATGTAAACTCAAAAATTGTGTACATTTTCAGGGGGTGGGAGGTTATAGCCCTCTCTGATCTATTGTTTTCTCTCTCTCTCTCTCTCTGTTTTTTTTATAACAGCTTTATTGACATATAATTCACATACCATACAATTTGCCCATTCAAAGTATAGAATTCAGTGTTTTTTATTATATTCACAGAGTTGTGCAACCATCACCACAGTCAATTTCAGAAATTTTCATCACCCCAAGAAGAAGTCCCACACCCTTTTGCAGTCACCCTCCACTACCTCCCCGCAACAGTTCTAGGCATCCACCAATCAACTTTCTATCTCTGTGGATTTGCCTGTTCTGCTAATTTCATACAATTGGAATCATACAATATATGGTCCTTTGTGACTGACTTCTTTCATTTAGCATGTTTACAGGGTTCATCCATATTGTATCAGTATTTCATTCCTTTTTCTCAGATCTATTTCTATGCTAAGTTAAGGGCCCCTGCTCTACAATCACAGAGAGTAAAGTCTCCTTTTCTGCATATCCCTTCACATATTTGAATATTGTCGATACTTGAAGGTCACGATTTCTGCAAGGTCCCCATGACTCCCCACTGTGGCTCACCAGTCTTCAAGGCCAACATTCAATTTTCCTTCTCTCCCTTATACCTCTCTTTTTGCACCCCCATTCTTCACTCAAATCCCAGGGTCTGGAAATTGCCAAACAGTTGGGCATTGCCTGGCTTTTCGACTGCCCAGGCCCCAGGAGTTGTCACTGTGTTGCAGCCTTTGATAGGAGCACTGTGATGGCCACCATTTCAGCCCTAACACTCTCCCTCAGCAGAACTTAAAACTCTTTACTGGGTTATTTTTCTTTCTTTTAAAGCAGGCCCCCTGTTTTGGTGGCTGCGTGTGCCAACAACTTAAGATACTCCCATTTGGAGATAGGTCTTATCTGATCACTGTAGAAGAGGGAAAAAGTTGACGCCCCAAAAGGGCAAATGGCTTGCCCAAGGTATTTCCAGGCTCCTCCTTTTGACTGGAGGAGCCTTTCGGGTTCGAGGGCACTGAAAGGCTCCAGCCCCCTTATCTCAGTCCTGTATCCATGCACTGTAGTCTGCCTGAGTCAAGTATGGGAATGTCCTGGACAACTAGGTATGATGTCTGTGGTTTACTTTCTTCCCATGAATAACCGTCGCTCTTCCTGGGATAGCACTTTTTGAAGAACTGGTTACTGTTGGGGTCTGTAGCAAAGTTACCTACTAAAAGCTTTCTTATTTTTATTTTTCTCTGAATGCTCCCCCTCGCCCACTGCAACAGAGGCCCCTTAAACTGGTATCGAAACATGGACAGGAACTGGTGTTGGGGCTGCAAAAGTGTGGGACGGAAGGTGAGTGCTGAGTTCAGTGGTGTTTCTCTCCATGAGCCATCCCTGGGCTTTCCCATTGTCCTGACCTGCAGTGACTCTGGTAAGAGCTGGGGGTGGACACAGTGACCTGTGGGCTTTCTGCTTTCCTGTGCTGCCTCCTCTGAGGTTTCTGGATGTGGCTCTGCACAAGGGTTTCCTCTTATGACCTTTTTTGCTGCTGTTTCTCTTGGAATGGTAGAGGGTAGAGTTGGGGGTGAAGCAGGGGCATGTCCAGGTAACTGCCCCGTCAGTCTGCAATGACCAGATCTCCCAGACCTTCCCCAGGTCAGAGCAGCAGATGGTCGAGGGTAACTCACCCGGGGACTGTCCTAAAGGGGACTCCCAGAGGTGATGTGAATAATGGAGCCCAGTATTCACAGAAGGAGCATTCTCTAAGCGACTTTAGCTTCTGATTGTGTGACCTTGACTGGTCAGTCTCTTGAGTCTCATTTTCCTCATTTACCCAGCAGAAGATGGGTTTCCAGTCTCTGGGTCTGCAGAAGTGGCAGTGGGGTCCCCTGTTCACATTCAAAATGTTAAAAACCTAAAGGAAATTGCATTTTTCCACAGTGAGTTTGTGCAGGTAAATAGGCTTTCATCAACTCACTGGTAGCCCGGTTATCTTATTGATTCTTTCAAATATGAACACTACTAAGTGCCAGGCCCTGTTCTAGACCTTGGTGATACAGTGGTGAATAAAAGACATGAGGTTCTCCACCTCATGTAGCTATGTCTTGAGGCAATACAGTAGTTAAGAGCAGGCTCAGAAGAAAGTCAGCCTGACTTCTAATCCCTGTGTGACCTTGGGCAAGGAACTTACCAACTCTATGCCTCCATTTCCTTTTCTGTAATGTGGAAATGACAATACAGTAATAGAAACTACCTCATAGAATTGTAAGGATGAAATGTGTTAACGTGTAAAATGCTCAGAGTGGTACCTAGCATTTTCAATGAATGTTAATTTTCCTTGTAGTCGCTATAGTTTGTGATTGACAAACACTACAAACTGAAGTTTGATAGAGAAAATCTCTCAAAGGAGTTGGAAACATGAGCTTTGGTGATAAAAAGGTTGGGGACCCCCTTCTTCTGCAGTCACCTTCCAAATTTTTCTCCCCCCGTCTCACCTTATACTATATCCCTACCACCAGCATTTTGGCTAGGAGTATTCTGGAGTTTACAAAATCTCGCAGCAGCCTCAGGGTTAGTTAAGCAACAGAATCACTTTTGAACTTCACATGGTTTTCCTGGTCATTTGGAGGGGTGCAAGGGGTGCAGTGAGGACCACTTGGTCCTGTATGTAAGTAAACAATAGTGCAAATTCCTTAACCAGGACCAAGCTAATACTGTTTGAAAAGATCTCTCCTAATAGTTATGACTCCTCACACAAAGCATGGCAAAAACAAAGCCAGGACCACAGCACTGCTGCTGGGTGAGTTAATAGAGGAGAAAGCTACACAGCATTCAAACCAAGTATCTCTCCTTGCCCAGGGTAAGGGAAGGCTCCAGTTGTGCAGGAGTACAAAAAGGTAATGTTTCTCTTCTCCTCTGGCTGCTCCTATTTCACATTATCCCTCCCCAGATCCTCATTCCAGCCCTGATGTTAACTGCTGAGAAGGACTTCGTGCTCCTTCCAGAGATGTCCAAGCACATGGAGGACTGGGTAAGGGTGTGGTTCCGCACTGGGGTCATTGTTCTGAGAGAGTACAAGTGCCTAAAGGAAAGACAGCAGCAGAGGACGCACCTCGTTCTGCAGAGTAGGATACTCTGTTGAACCATCTCCATGGCAAAGACTTCATCAGTAAAATCACTGTCACCTTTTGGGAGCAGTGGTCATGACTGATGCTTCTTTTCCCCTACACTGATGTAGCCTCTTGTCCGTTCATTCATTTATTCTGCAGGTTTTTGTTTGCAGTTAAATATGTTGAGAGAGTACTAGCTACTGAGGGGGTAAGATGAATAAGGTACAGACTCTGCCCTCTGTGAGCTCACTGTTCAGCAGTTAATCCCGGCACAGCATGACACATATGCAGGAGAAGTGCCTGTAGGGCATCAGGAGGGGAGAAGAGGGTGCAGCTGGGAGCAAGGGCTTCACAGAGGTGCTGACCATTGAGTTTGGTCTTGATAATGACTTAAGACTTTCCCAGCAGAGAGAATGCGGAGAAGGCAGGGTGAGGGAGCATACTGAAAAGCAACAAGCATGCACCACATGCTCAGAGGATGGGAATGAGCTTGATGGAGCTGGGAGATTTTGCTGAGTCCCTTGGGCCATGTTAAGCCATGTAGACCCATGGGCATGGAGACCCAGCGAAGGGGAGTGGAAGGGGCATCAGACCTGTGTGTTGAAAGATCACTGTGCTGAAAGTGTGGGATTGGGGAAGCCTAGAGATAGGGTGGCCATGGGCTCATTTAACCTGGCTAATTGTTGAGAGTAGTCTAGAATGCATTTGGCCATGGTTTTGTTAGCACAATCAGGCATAGTGGAGAGGGTACATTTAGCAGGACACTGCCCAGGGCCGCCCCTGTGGTTCACCAGAGAGGCCTAGCTCTGGAGCCGAGGGCGTGTTGCAGAAAGCTGTAATAGAGTCTGAGGTATTCCTCTCTGGCCCTAACCCTTGCAGATTTCTTGAGAAATTAAAGTTCTTTAGCCGGCCCTTTCCAGCTTGTGTAACTGCTAGCTTCTCTGAGGTTTATTCTGCTGGAAGAGGCATCTCCTGCCCCCAGGAGGAAAGCTTCATTTTTCTCAGCATTTTTCACATAGTGTTCACCGTTGCTACTTCCTCAAGGCCTGTGTCGGGGGGAACCTGCCTGTCGCGAGCTGCTGCATCACTGCTCCTTTGTGGTCTTTGGTGCTCGTTATTGTGATCCACTGGGGGGATTCAGAGTTCCCAAAGTGAGGTCAAGCAGCCCTGCTGGCAGCCTGGGAAGGGGAAGCAGTCACATCTGAGTAGTGAGAGCCAAACCATGACTGGGCATTTTCCAGGAAGTGAACAGGCAGAATCCTGTTGATCCTGAGGGGAGGATTTGTTGTAATGAGTAAGAGTCAGCCCAGGATTGGAATCTTAGCTACTTTCTAACTATGACCCTGGGCAAGTTACCTCACCTCTCTGAGGTTGCCCCACAGGATTAAATAAGGTAGTGAGTGTGGAACACCTAACACGTAGTTGTTGTATTGTTAGCTCCCCGTGGAGTCAGTTCCCAACTCATGGTGACCCCACACGCAGTGGAACCAAACGCTTCCCAGTCCTGCACCATCCCCATAATCGGTTGCAGATTGGTTGATTTTTGGAAGTAAATCACCAGGCCTTCCTTCCTACTCCATCTTAGCCTGGAAGCTCCTCTGAAACCTGTTCAACCTCATAGCAACATGCCACAGACAGGTGGTGGCTGTGCATGAGGTGCGTTTGAACCTGGGCCTCCCAAATAGAAGGCAAGAATTCTACCACAACCACCAATGCCTTCCCCCCAACACACAGTAGGGGCTCAATAGATGATCATTCCTTTGCTAAATAATGCAGAGCTCTTCAGAGGTTGACCTAGGGGAGTAGAGAGGAACGTGTTCCCTTACCAGTGGCCTCTTGCTCATGGCACTAACCTGAAACCAGACCCTGTATTTGCAGATCCCATATTAGAGAGCAATGTTGCCACTTACAGTTCTGGTGGGGTTTTCTTTCAGATCCCCCACCTGAAAAGGGGACACATTAAGGATTGTGGACACTGGACACAGATGGACAGGTAGGAGATTCTGGGCCTGTGGGTGGGGAGAACAGGCCTCCTCTCACCTTCAGTAAAGGCTCCCTGCTTTAATTCTGCCCTGGCTTTGACCCGGGTTAGCCATTCACTTCAGGGTCCCCCATCTCTGCCTTCATGTGGGGTGAGTGGGTCCAGACAAGTTTTAACTACCTTTTATTTCCTTTCCAGGCCCACTGAGTTGAATCAAATCCTCATTGAGTGGCTGGAAACGGATGCCAGGGACCCACCAATGGTCTCTTAGGGTGTGGCATGTGTCAATACCTGGCAGGCACTGCAGTGCTTTCCTCTCCTAGGAGCTGTTCCTGGTGTGGGGATGTGGGCTTACACATACCTATGATAACAGCAACATTGTTCTGAGGGGGTTGCAAAAAAATAGCGATTTTTTTAAAAAAATGAAGTGAATCAGAGTTAACATAGTTTTAGCTGTAGGAAAAATCATGTGTGATCAATTCTCTGGGTATAAATGCATCACGTTATCTGTAAGAATGGTTAGTGTCCCATTCAGGATGGGACGGCCAAGTGATGATTTCTCTTTGGTTGACCAATTCATAGTTTTGCAACAAAGCCAGCAGTTACTTTTGAAGCAGTTAATTGTCTCCTTTATTCAATAAAACTAAGACAACTGTGACACTGCTGTCTGTTTTCATCTGAGGTTGAAGGCAGGTTAACTGTTTCAGCCTGGTGGCATGTGAACCAGCGTGTTCCCCACTGCTCTGCAGTCGTACGGCAGTCTGCGAGGCCCAGCGCTGCCCAGGAGAACTTCCTGAGATGATGGAAATGGTCCATTCTGCACTGTCTAGTAGAGCATTTGAAATGTGGCTCATGAGGTTGAGGAAGAGAATTTTAAACTTGATTTAATTTTAATCAGTTTAAATTCACATAGTCACATTTGGCTAGTGGCTTCCGTGTTAGGCACAGACCTCGTCACTGTCTTCCTCTCTGGCCTCACCACTCTCTTGCTGCATCCAGTCAGGTACCCTGTCTCACTGGTGTTTGTCTCTGCAGTGTCTCTCCTCTGCCTGCTTCAGGCCCTCATCATCTCCTACCCACAGCCCTTCCCACAGCAGCCTTTTAACTGGCCTTCCACCACCCATCTGATGGTCTGATGTCTTGTGGTCTGATGGTGGACGTTGCAGTGGCTTCCCACTGTGCCCAGAATAAAGCTCAAGCACTGGAGCCTGCCTGGCCTCAGCTCACCCCCAGCCTTGCCCCCACTCACTCACTGACTCCTAACTGCCTTCCAGCCACACCAATCCTCCAGAGTCCCTGCACACACCACACTGATTCTCCTTGACCATCTGCCTGTGCTCATGCTGTCCTTTTGCCTGGAATGCTTCCACTTGTCACCTCCTTCATGAAGTCTTCCCCAAACTCAGCAGGCTGGGTTATGTGCCCTCTCTCTCTGCTTCTCTACCACAGTATATTTACATATATATAATCACCTCCCTCATTGCACTCCTACAGGGAAATCTGGTGGAGGTGGTGCTCTCTCCAAGCTGAGTTAGGAATTATAAGTTAGCCAGGCAAAAGGTGTACGTGTGTCTCTGTGTAGAAAGCAATAGAGGGGTTGGAAATGTTAGCATGTGTCATCTATTAAGTACCTCTGTGCGCCTAGAATATCTCAGCTCTTCTCAGAGGATCCTTCCCATTTAACAAAAGGGGTAAATGAGGTTCAGAGTAACTTGCCCAAGGTCACATGGCTAGGTGGGGGCAGAGCCTAGATTCAGACACAAGCTGTCTGACTCCAAAGGCTGAGCTCTTTCCAACAAAAATCTGTAAATCTGGACCCAGACTTCCTGTGTAAGATTGCTGGTCTGCCACTTAACCAGCTGTGTAACCTTGGGAAAGGGTTTCCTGTGCCTCAGTTTCCTCATCTATAAAAAGAGTACACTAATAGTGCTTAACTCATAGGTGGTTGTGAGTATTAAATGAGTTAATATATGTCTAGAACGGTGTCTGGCACAGAGGAAGTGCTACAGAAGTATTAGCTAAAAGATTTCTGGTGTATCCAGGACAAGGTCTATGAGGGCTTTAAATATCCAGCCATACTACTGCCTACCTCCTTTTGGGTCTGAGAATTAAAGGCTTATTTAAAAGGCAAATATGTAACCTGGGGGGCAGGTGTGGGAATTACTACATAAGCCAAATAGCATTATTTTACTAACAGTTATGTCCAAGCTTATTTGTAAGGGAGTGGTTGTGGGGGTGGGGGGATGAAAAAAGAAAAAGAATCTTAGAACATTCTTCTCTAGAAGAAGCAGAAATAGGCAAACCTGTTTTCCCTTATAGTACCAATTTCAAATATTCTATCCAGTAATCCCCATAAACCTCCAAAAATGTGTTAGAAATTCTACTCTTTTGGCAAATAAAGGTCAAATGAATCAGGTTCATAGCATTGCAGCAAAAATATAACTAGTCATACAAGATTGTGGGCTGTAAAATACACTAGACTGGAAAAGGCCTTAAGGTTATTTGGGAAAATACTAGGACTTTCCAGAGCTGTTTTTCCCCACCTGCTTTTGGGAGCTTTGGCACACGCAGCAACTGCTGTTGGAGCTATGAAAGTGACGGTAATTGACTGAGATCGGACAGAGAACATTTCAAGATCACGTTTTAAGTAGAACTTGTTTGAAATGTGTTCAGAATGATTTAATTATGAAATGTTATTTTTATTTCGTGACTACAGAGGACATAAATAACAAGTACACTGAAACCTGTGAGAGCTGGAACTCGACGGGACTGCCTTGCTTTTCCAGGTCTCACAAGTTTTGCACCTTTGACAGGGTGCAGTCTTACCACTTTTCTATCTCTCGTTCTAGTGGAAAATATTTGAGTTTTCCTTCTCTGTCAGGGTTCTGCCTTACACAGGTTCTGGCTTCCTTGGGGTTTTCTGTGTATTTACCTCTGCTAAAAGAAATAGCCTTTCTTAACAGAAGCGTGGCCGTGCACACATTCTCTCTTACCCCATGTTGTTGTTGTTGTTAGTTGCCATCGAGCAAACTCCAGCTCATGGCGACCTTATGTGTAACAGAATGAAATGTTGCCTGATCCTATGCCATCTTCACAATCGTGGGGGTAATGGTGCTCCCTTAAGGAAGCTGTGATCACTCATCTATTAGGCCTAAGGAGGACCACTGGTGGCTGTTAACTAGCATTATCTGGGGCTTGCATGAGAAGTGCCTTCTAAACAGTCTGTGAAATAGAATAAACAAAAACCAAACCTGTTGCCATCAAGTCAATTCTGACTCATAGCGACTGGGTAGGACAGAGTAGAACTGCCCTATAGGGTTTCCAAGGAGTGGCTGGTAGATTCAAACTGCCAACCTTTTGGTTAGCAGCAGTAGCTCTTAACCACTGCACCACCAGGGCAGATGACACAAAAAGCTATTTCTGTTGCCCTTGGGATATAACGATCCCATGGTTTTAGGTCCTTAAGTAATTCTTGGCCAGTTTCCATACTGTTCACACCTACCTTATTATTACCACAAATGAAAAGCAAACAGTGGTTAAAATATCAGGTGTCTTAGTCATCTAGTGTTGCTATAACAAAGAACCACAAGTGGATGGCTTTAATGAAAAGAAATTTATTTTCTCACAGTCTAGTAGGCTAGAAATCCAAACCGAGGGCATCAGTTCCAGGGGAAGGCATTCTCTCTCTCTCGGCTCTGGAGGAAGGTCTCTGTCATCAGTCTTCCCCTGGACTAGGAGCTTCTCCGCTCAGGAACTCAGGGTCCAAAGGACACGCTCTGCTGCTGGCACTGTTTTCTTAATGGTATGAGGTCCCCAACTCTGCTTGCTTCCCTTTTATCGCATGCAAGATAAAAGGAGTTGCAGGCCACACCCCAGGGAAGCTCCCTTTACATTGGATCAGGGATGTGACCTTAGTAAGGGTGTTATAATCCCACCCTAATCCTCTTTAACATAAAATTACAGTCACAAAACGGAGGACAACAACACAGTACTGGGACTCATGGCCCAGCCAAGTTGATACACACATTTTTGGGGGAACACAATTCAATCTATGACACTAGATCGGAAACTCAAAGGATTTTACAACAGGAATTGGGTGGAAAATATGCCTAGCTGCTCAAAGGAATCCATCTAGCCACAAATAAGAAAATCTTTTTCTTATCTTAACAAGTTTAGGAGTTTCTCCTAAGTGTTGGCTCCTGCAATTGTTTGTCTGTCTCTCCTGTTAGACTCTAAGGTCCTTGGGATGAGAGACTACCTGCCTAGACAATTTATCCTTGATCTCCAGCCTAGCACAGTGCCTAAGAGTTTGTAGATCCTCATTAGATGTTTGCTGAATAAAGCAGAGAATGAATGGATAAATTGGCTAATTTTAAATTCTTTTATTTTGATACCCTACTAGGTGAGATGGACAGCCAAATAAGTCAGTTTTCATTATTCCAAGCCTGAATCTTAGTAAGACCGCTGGTATATCTGCTGATAGAATTAATTCAGAAGAATAAAACATTTAGATTTTAGATATCTAAGAATCTTTGCTAGTATTCATTGGATAAATTGCAGCAGAATATTGGGTTTCTGCTGAATAGAAACAAATGCAATAATCATTTTAATAACACAGCTAAAGTATATACAGTTAACCATGAATGTTCCCGGTTTTCATATTTATAAAATATGAGTGGAATAATTTTGTCAGTTTATCTACATGCTCTATACATACATTTCATCATATTCAAACACAAGAGCTTTGAAGCTGGTATCTGCTTCAAAATGATTTTTCTACTTCTGTAAGTTCACACTGTAATCAATTAAAAAATAACTTCAATTTTTTTCACTGCTTCAAACGTGAAAGGTCCTAGGTTAGACCCTAGCTTTTGTTTCTTAGGCAGTTCGTCATGGTTTTCCATGATGCTGGTTTCACAAATGGAAGGGCAGAACATGTTAACACTGGGGAGCTGGTGTGACTATTTTTGTCAGAATTTCAAGGACAGAAACAATTCTTTGTTTATGCAGCTCAAAGTAAGAAATTTCCAGAAGAAAGCCCCTAACAGTGGAATTTGTTGCAATTTGAATAGATGAGGGGATAGATCTACGTTCATTGTCTCCATCAGTTATCCTGGATTCAGTGGAGAAAGAACTCAGAATGGCATGGATTATTTTAGGCAGTCTCACCCGGTTGTGTCTTATGCGTGTTGAGTGAACTTTCTATCTGTATCACGTTTTGAAGAGAATGAGCTGCCTAAGTGGAACAAGGAATTTACCAGTTGCTGTCGAGCCGATCTGACTCATGGGAAGCCATGTGTATAAGAGGAGAGCTGTGCTCCATAAGGTTGTCAATGGCTGATTTTTCAGAAGTAGACTGCCAGGCCTTTCTTCTGAGGTGCCTCTGGGTAGATGCAAACCTCCAACCTGTCAATTAGTAACCAAGCACGTTAACTGTTTGCATCACCCAGGGACTGACTCTACCTGCAGATTAGAAATGGTTAAATGCTCTTGAGAATTTTCACAGTAGAAACATGGGTATTTCAAAAAAATGTGTTACCAGGAACAAATGTCCTATTAAGAAGCTCATTTTCACTGATAAACAAGTCTGGGAGG